AAGAGAAGAGAGAATTATAATACTAGAAGCTTTAAGAAAACCTACGTAAAATAGATAGGTAGCTTAAGAATCTTAACTCGTCTACTAGGTTACTCTATAAGCTAAAAAAGCTACCTATTTTACGAGAAATATACTTAAAGGCTAGGCTTAACGTTAATATAATTAGCGTAGCTATCTTTATAATTAACGTACGTTAAAAAGATACTATAATTAGGTATCTTAGTGTCTATAAGGTTAATTAGCTTATTACTAATAGAAAGAAAACTCTAGTTACTAATCTAGAGAAGAAACTCTACTAACTAGTTACTAATAAGCTTCTATTCTCTAGATATACTAGCGTAACTATAGCCTATTTCTTAAAAAAAAATTCTAATACTCTACTACTATATAAAGAAGGCGTAGATTATAATATTAAGCTTATAGTAGAAAATACCTTAATAAATAGTTCTCTTTATAGTATATTACTAGAGTACCTATAGTTAGTATATAATTACCTAGAGAACTACCTTTATTATAGCTTTATTATCTATAGTAATACGTTATACGTATTACTAGTTCTATTTACTAAAAAGCTAGATAGAGAATAGAGGTTCTATATTAACTATTAAAAGCTTAACGCTATTACAAAAAAAGACGCCTATTCTATTTCTCTTATTTAGAAAACGCTTACACGCCTATTACGCGCTAAGGTCTTTACTAAGTTAGACGTAAGGTAAGCTTTCTACTAGATCTAGCTTAATAAGTTAGTAAAGAACCTAATATCTTTCTATACGTAGTATAGTAACTATAAGTATTAAGTTCTACTCTTTAGCCTCTATAATAGCTTTACTACCTTTTAGTAATATATTAATAAGATATTATATAGCTTACTAGATAATTTCTATATAGTATATATTAATAATATTCTTATTTATTTAGAGAATCTACTTAAGTATAAAGCTTATATTACCTAGGTACTTAATTAATTATATAAAGCTAGGTTATAAGTAGATATTAAGAAATCTAAATTTACTATTAAAAGTACTAAGTTTCTAGAATTAATTATAAG